AGCCCCATTAGGTTTTCAAAGGAATATTTTGGTGCCATCTTGTGACCGTTCTGGTGCACTAGTAGAAATGAAATCTTCAGCCTGTCGCTTCAGATTTCAAAAAGAATCTTCTGGCACCCTCTTGTGGCACGCTGCAGCACAAAACCACCAAGGTGGCCGCCCACAGTTGCCATAGTGTGTTGTTAATTTAGGATAAACTTGGCAAGGTTTCTCAACTTGGCACAATTGACATTTAGGGCCTGGTGATTCTTTGTTGCTGGGCTCTGTCCTCTACTATATGATGTTTATCAGTGTCTCTACCCACTAGATGCCAGCGGCACTCCTCCAGTTGTTAACAATCAGAATTGTTGCCAGACATTATTACCAAATGGTTGGGTTGGGGGTGGGGCTGGTACAGGGCAAACAGCAGAGAGGCCCAGAATTCAGAATTCTCCTAGGCTGAAAACCACTGAAAAAGGGTAGTTGAAATTAAATAACTTTAATTCTCTTCAATTGTCCTAAAGCATGGAAAGAAGAATTCAGAATATGAAAAATCGCCATCGGCCTGGTTACAAGACCATTCCTTAGAAAAATGGCACAGAGCCACCCGTTTATTCATCATGTAGGCTAGGAATGCAGCACACACCCATTGATTCCTATGGAAAAATCAGTTTTGTATACATACGATTTTCATAATTGCACTGCATGATTGCATCATAGAATGTGACAGCTGTACTTCTAGAAAATCCAAAAGACTTTGGGTCACGACTCCCTGACTTTCATGTTCCTTGTTGCTCAAGCTTTCAACCTTACCTGACATTTCACCTATTTTTCTTCTAGAGTTAGTAGCAGTTGTCAACTGCAATTCTTGCACATATATTAGCTCAAAGATTTACAGGCCGTTCTAACAGATACAGAATCTTCTAAGAATTTCCAAGGATAATCTCATCTCATCCACCGATATCAATGGCTGGCCCAGTATTCTTACTTACATATTTCAAAATTTCGCCCTTTTTGCTGTTTCACCCTCTGCCTTTTTTTTTTTTTTTCTTTTTCCCTCTGCCTTTTTCCATCATCAGTATTTCATTCATCAGTCATTTCATAATTATCTATTATATTCCATGCACAGTATTAAGCACCAAGCATGCAAAAACAAACAACCAAGTGAAACCTGGCACCTAAGAAGCCCTCTTATAGTCCAGTAGGAAAAGCAGAACAGAGAAATTGCAATGCATTGCGTGTGATGAGTGAAAGAATGCAGGTGTGAGGGAAGGACTGAGAGAGTTTAGAAGAGGATCTAAGTCATTGAAAGCTTCACAGAGAAGATTGCAATTAATGAGGGAATGGAAAGATGAATAGGAGTTTGCCAGGTAGAGGAGATAGTAAAGAGCATTCCAGACAGAACGAGTAACATATGCAGATCAGAGCCTTTTCTGTCTGCCGTGTCCCTCATCGCCACCCTCTCAGAGAACGCATTTCTCTAACCACACTGTGGCTTGTTCCGGGCTCTGCCACTCTCCCAGCCCTGCCAGGCACCTCGCCTTGCCTTTCCTTCACTCCCCTTTTCTGTTCACATTCCTTTCCACCTCATGCTCTCCAGCTCATCCAACCCCCATCTCTCACCCCACAACCGTTTCCCCTGCTCAGACACAACCTACATCTGCCTTAGAATCCGGCCAGGGCCTCCTGTCTGCTCTCACTCACACTTCTCTCCTGGCCAACCCATCCGACTGTAGGCTACATCTCATGGACGGGGGATCACTCCCACATGTCCTAGCAGCGGGGAGGGAGTGAAAACAGCTGTGATATTTCCCGCCTCCACTGGGAGTTTAGCTTTGCGGCAGGAGGGAGTGGGGCTGGCGGATGGCAGCAACATAGCAGCTTGACAGTCAGGCCTTGCCCTCAGAAAACCTGGTTAATTTCTCCTTGGCTTTCACCCTCACCATGCTCCCCAGGCCATGGCTTCTTGCCGCCTTTCCCTCACTCCACTCCTGTTTCCTCACATCCAGCACACTCCCTTTGGGTGCTCTGTCCCTCCTGAGTGCCCACTCTGCATTCTTCGCTCTCTCGGCTGCAGGGCTCCCTCTCTGTTTCCTCTAATCATTTCCCCAATGTCACCTCTCCTGAGAGGTCTCCGCAACAACCTGCTGTAGAACAGCAGCTCCCCATCAGTCCCACCAGCTCTTACCCTATCTGACTTACTCATGTGTGTGCTTTTTGCTGTCTCCCCTCCATGGGAGCAGGGATTTTGTCCAGTTTCTTCTCTGTTATTTTCCCAGGGCCTTGAAGGAAGCCTGGCACACAGTACTTAGCAAGCACTGGCTGAATGCCTGATGGAAGAATAAGGCCCCTTTCCAATCTCCCAGACAGGACTAGTGTTTCCTAGCCATGATATTGAGGGGATCTTTCCTACCTCGAAGTGCCAGGATGGAGGGAGAGGCAGGATTTTGGTGGGCTGGAAACTTGCTCCTCTTAGTAGCAGTTATTGGCTTGGAGTGGTCACCTTCCCCGCCCAAACTGAGCAGCACAGGCAGTGATTGATTTGGGGCTGGTCAGTCTGATTCCACTAAAGCCTCTTTGCCTTCGTGTCCAGGGAAAGGAAAGCTCTCAGTTCTGTGAGCGGGAAGAGTGAACCCTGGTAAGAGTAGGACGGCTGCTTGCACTTTGCTAACAGAAGAAACCTCAGCCTGAGCACTAGGTCGGAAGCTGAGCCACAAGCTTCATAAATACAGCCACAGCCCTGACCACAGGCTTCCCTTCCTCCTCCTCCACATCTTCCTTCTCTGCTTCTTTTCCTTTTGTTTTCCTTTTCTTCTTCTCCTTCTCCTCCTTCTTCTTCTTGTTCCAGCTTTCTTCTTTTTAAATTTTTTTTTTGAGACAGGATCTAGGGATGTAGTCCAGGCTGGCCTCCACCAGGTGGCAATCCTCCCGCCTCAGCCTCCTGAATGCTGTGATTATAGGGGTATGCCACCACACCTATGTTCATAGGCTTCCCTTCTAATCCTGCTGGGTCTTTAAACTTTGAACTTCTTGTTTTATGAACTAACAGATTCCTTTGATATTTAGGTCGGCTTGAGGGTGGCTCTTTTTTGTGTGTAATCTAAAGCATTTTACCAATACACTGTCCTTAAAGTACTACCATACTCTGGGGAATGTTTTAAGAACTTTCACAAATTAGAATATTTGTTCATTACTAAATGAATAAATTCATTTATCAAGTATGTAGAGAGTACCACTTCAGTACTAAAAGAGTGAGCAAAGTAGTAAAAGATGGAAACCCTGGGTTATTTAAAGGATAGTGATGAAAAATGGGGAGTGCTTAGCTTCAAAGAAAGAAAACTCAGGCCATAATGATGTCTTCATGAAAAATGTAGTTTCATATATTTGAAGTGGGTAACATGTTGAGATGTGGATTTAGCTAGGACCTGGTGGAATGCACAACTCTCTTAATTCTATGCTAATACCAACTCCTTTTCCTCAAATACTAGAAGGAAATACACTTGAAGAGAACTTAGCAAGACAAGGTAAAATTTGACAGTTGGCTTGGGCTTCAGCTTCAGTCTGTAGTGGGCAGCTCAAATCCAGTGTTCTAGGAGATGCCCTGACTCATATTAGCTGTAGAATCCACCTTCATTTCCCTATTATTGACTGTATTAATTATTTCCTTAATTTCCTACCTTAAATAGTGGCTCTAACCACTATTTAAATAGTGGCTCTAAGAAATGGGGTCTAGCCATGTTCTCTGTTGAAAGGAGAAGCACTCCTTTCCTAGATTAGACTTTGGCTGAAGGGGACAGGATCAAAGAAGGGCCTCTTCTGTTTCTGTTTTTCCCCTCTCAAGTCCAAACCCTGGGCATGGATGGTACCATTCTAATAGGAGGAGAGGCTGCCCACCAGCCTGCCCACCACACTGCCCACCAGCTTTAACCACACTGGGAGTCCAACTCAGGAATAAAGGATGCATATGTGTATCTCCATCTGCCTGTCACTCTTCCCCTATTATCCTTCTGATAAGATCACAGCTTTGGTCACCCAGTGAGAGACACTGAGCCAAAGGCACCTAGCTAAGGCAAGCAGGAATTCCTGATCCACACAAGTGGCACAATAATAAATTGTTTTCAAACTACCAAGGTGTGTGTGTGTGTGTATTTGTTACACAATAGAGAACTAACACAAAGGGTACACAGAATTCTATTATGTAAGTTTAGATTATTTCAACTTTTCCCAGTTGTAGTCTAGCATCATTGTTTATAGTCTTAGATATTACTGGAAATAATTGTGTAGGATAAATTATTAGACATGGGATCACTTACCCTTATTTTTTTTTTTTTTTTTTTTTGGTGGTACTGGGGATTGAACTCATGACCTTGTGCTTGCCAAGCATGCTCTTATGCCACTGAGCTATATACCCAGCTGCCTTATCCCTATTTTTAATTACAGTAAATATGGTCAAATTATTCTCCCAAGAGATTACACACTATTTATACCCTCATTAAAACATTTCTGAGAGCCTGGGAGTTTACCTCACTGACAGAGCATATGCTTAGTGTGGTGAGGCCCTGGGTTCAATGTTCACGCCCAAAAACCAAAACAACTAAAAAATATTTCTGAGAATGTCTCTTGCCCCCACCTTGTGAATGCCAAGTATTATAGAACTTTATTACATAACAATTCAAAAAGAAAAAAGGTATCACGTATTGGGGTTTTACCACACCCCAAGTGCAACCCCAGGCTATCTGTGCCTTTTGCCATTTGATGCTTACAGCAACTTGTTGATGTAGGAACTACTATTGCCCCATTTTACAAAGGTTGAGAACAGCCTTGACTCATTTACACAATTATCAAGTAGGAGAACAGGTAGACTTAGGCAATCTGACCTTAGAATTTGAGCTCTAATGACTGGGGAGGTGTAGCCCAGTCTCCATGGGTAGTAAGCCTAGTCCTGCCTCCTCCTCTGTGATTTGCATATCTATCTTCTTTCCTCTTGAGCTGCATAACTTCTGTTGGGAGCTTCACATTCACTCCCTTTTGCACCCAGCTCTTGCCCTGCAAGTGTGACCTCTGTGGGCTTCCTTATCTTAGTACCTGTGCCCTTTGGCTCTCAGCTGGGGTTAGCAGGTAAAAAGCCTGGCAGAAGACTGGAGGTGAGTTGAAGCTGAACTCAAACTGCTTATATCCTTGGTCGCTCCTTATAAGGTTGTATCTGACTTGCTGTCTTTAAAACAAAGTTCATTGTTCTTCCAACCTTACACTGCTCCTCTCCGGGCTCCTGTAGCTTCCCCCTCCCCTCACTACTTCTCAGGGGGAGAAGTGATAACTGGTGCTGTAACAGCACCATCCTGTATAGTTTCCTTACATCTCAACTATATAAATAAACACTCCTTGACTTATCCTACTTGGGGTGAATTATCATTTTCACTCTTTATTATATTATCTTTTGTTACTGAATTGTAAGCACTCTTTCTGTGTTAAAGACATAAACCTCTGTTAATCATTTGTTGTAGGAACATTATTTCTAGTATGTTGCCTTTGAGTTTTGTTTAACATGGGTTTTGCACGGGTTCTGTATATGATCACTCACAACTCCATGCAGTTGCCTCTTTTTTGTCTGGGTCTTTTATTTTGGATGGTTCTAGATATTAGTCTACTGTACAAGGTGTAACTAAAATTTTTTTCTGTTCTGTAGGTTGTCTCTTCACTCTGTGGTTGTTTTCTTTGCTGTGCTGGAGCTTTTTAATTTGATAAAATCCCATTTGTTGGTTTTTGTGCTTAGTTCTTGTGCAATTGGAATTCTGTTTAGAAAGTCCTTGCCTATGTCTTTGTCTTCAAAAGTTTTCTCTATTTTAACTTCCAGCAGATTGTTTCTGTTTTTAATATTTAGGCCTTTGATCCATTTTCATTTGAGTTACATTTTTATTTGAGAATTTTGTATCTATGTTCATTAAAGAGATTGGCTTAAGGCTTTCTTTTTCAGTTGAGTTCTTGTCTTGTTTAGGAATCAAGATAATACTAATTTCCAGGAATAAATTTAGCAGTACTCCTCATTTAGTTTCATTAAAGAGTTTGAGGAGTGCTGGTATTAGATCTTCCCTGAAGTTCCTATAGAGTTCAGGGCTGAATCCATTGAGTCCTGGGCTTTTTTGGTTGGTAAAGTATTTTACTGCTGTCTCAATTTCATTGTTGTTATTGGATTATTCAGGCTTTTATATCTTCTTGTCTCAGTTTTGGTAATTCGTATATATCTAGGAATCTATTTTTTGGATTCTCCAATTTAATGGAGTACAGGCTTTCAAAGTAGTTACTAACAATCTTCTGGATTTTAGTAGCATTCATTGTGATTTTCTTTTCTTTTTATTCTTTCTTTTGTAAGGTTGGCTGTTTGTCTACTTTATTTATTCTTTCAAAGAACAAGCTCTTCAATTAATTGATTCTTGGCAATGATTTTTTAGTCTCAATTTCATTAATTTCTGCCCTGATCTTTATAATTCCCTTTCTTATACCTGTTTTACATTTGAATTTTCTTTGTTTTTCTAGGACCTTGAGGTACATCATTAGGTTATTGATTTGGCCTTACTCTGTGTTATGTTTTATATCTAGATGTCCCGTCAAAGCCTCATATGGTCATAAGTAGCACTTTGGGAGGTGATTGGATCATGGGGGTGTAACATTAATCAGTAGACTAGTCAACTGATGAGTTTATAACAAAATGTGACATTGAGAGGTGAAGGCTGGTGGAAGGAGGTGGGTCACTGGGAGAATGACCTAGAAGGGTATATCTTCCTAGCCACTCCCATGACCACTCTCGCTGCTTCCTGACTACCATGCCATGAGCAAGCATCCTCTGCCTTATCCCTCTGACATGCTCCCTGCCTTGCAGCCAGCTGACTATAGACTGAAACCTTTACAAACAGTGAGCTAAAATAAACCTTACCTCCTTTCTCTGTATTGTGTCTCAGTGATGAGAGAAGTAAAGTAAGGTACTTTGTTTTTCTGATGTGAAGATTCGCAGTTATAAACTTCCCCCTTAAGGCTGCTTTCATCATGTCCCATAGGTTCTGGTATAGTATTGGCATTATCATTTGATTCTGTCTAATTTATTTCTTGATTTTCTGTGTGATCCATTGCTTATCCAAGAGTGTATTATTTAATCTCCATGTGTTTGCATAATTTCTGTGATTTCTTTTGTTGTTCACTTCTAGTTTCATTGCACTATGAGTTGATATGCATGGGATAATTTTTATTCTTTTGTATTTATATAAGCATGCTTTATTGGCTAGTATGTGGTCTACTTTGCAGAAATTTCCATGTGCTGCTGAGAAAAATATGTATTCTGTTGCTGGGTGGAACATTCTGTAGACATCTATTATTTATTTTAAAGTTTACTTCTTTGTTGATATTTTGTCTAGTTGATCTCTCTGTGATAGTAGGGTATTGAGGTCTCCCTTTAAAATTATATTGCTATTTAGTTAATTTTTTCTGGTAGTAGTGTTTCTTTCATGAAGTTAGGTACACTGAGGTTCAGTGCACACATATTTATAACTGTTATCTCTTTCTGTTGAATTGTTCCTTTAATTAATATGTAGTGACCTCTTTTGATCAATTTTTTCTTGAAGTGCACTTTGCTTGAAAATAAGATGGCTACTATTGCTTGTTTTCAGGTAGCCATTGAATAGAATATTGTTTTCTATCCTTTGAATTTTAGTCTACAATTCATTTTTGGATTAAATGTGTTTCCTGTATGCAGCATATGTGTTAGTTATTTTTCTCATTGCTGAGACAAAATACTTGACACCAAAATTAAAGGAAGAAAACTTATTTATCTCACAGTTTGTAAAGGTTACAGTCCATAATTTGCTGGCTCCAAGGCAGGGTGGTACATACCAGAGGAGCAACCACTCATGGCAGTAGAAGACAGAAAAATCAACAAGGGAAGTGGAACAAGCCTCTTTCTATCTCTTATACTGTACACAGGTTACCCACTCTAAGGCAGGTGTGGCACTCACACCCTTAATCCTAGCCAGAACTATGCCAGACCAATCAGTGAACTCACTAATCACATACCATTAATCCTAGCATCACACATTCTAGATTTAGCCACCTCTGGAAAAGTCCCATGACTGCATGAGGCTTTGTGGGGGCACATCTAGACACAAACCATAATACCATACCATTAGGTTTTGTTTTTTGACCCAACCTGCCAATCTGTGTGCTTTGGTTGGGGAGTTGAGACCATTCATATTGACAGTTATTACTGAAATATATTGGCCTATTCATGTCATTGCATTACTTTCCTATTGCTGATTCCTTTTTCTCCCTTTCTGTTTAAACATTCATCTTACCTGGTAAATTATTCCATTAGGCTTTTTGGCATTGTTGGATTCACTGTATTTTTCCAGACTATTATTTAGAAATTTTTGGAGTGATGGCTTGGTGGTCATAAATTCTTAAGATGTTCTTGTCATGGAAAGGTCTTATTTCTCCATCAATTTTGAAAGATAGTTTTGCAGGAAATATCAGTCCAAGTTAGAAGTTGCTTTCTTTTAGTTCTTGAAACACTTCACTCCAAGCTCCACTGGTCTTCAAGGTTTGTGTTGAGAAGTCTGCTACAATTCTAATTGGTGTACCTTTATAAATGAGTTATTGCTTTTCTCCAACAGCTTTTAAGATCTTGTCCTTGTGTTAGACTTTTGGGTTTAGATTAATGGTGTATTGTGGAGAAGTTCTTTTTTGATCATGGGTATTTGGGGTTTTATATGCCTTCCTTACTGTACATTAAATTCCTTTCCTAAAGGCTGGGGATTCAGCTCAGCGACAAAAAGCGCCTGCCTGGCAAGCGCAAGGTCGTGAGTTTGGTTCCTGGTACCAGAGAAAAACCAAAATAAATAAATAAATAAATAAATAAATTCCTTTCCTATACCTGGAAAGTTTTTGGCTATTATTTCTGTAAACAGGTATTTTATGCCATTTGTTCTATCTACTGATTTTTCACTAATTCTGATCAATCTTAGATTAATCTTCTTTGTGTCATCTAGCAACTATTGGGTCCATTTTCTGTGTTCTCCTGTTGTTTTAAAGATATCACTGATGGCACCTTCATTAGCTCTATCTTTTAGTTCTGACACTCTGTCTTCACATTGGTCACTTCTGCTCTCCATACTTTCAATAAAAGTTTTTACCTCTTGGGTTTTTATTTGGTACCTTTTCATGGACTCTAATTGTTTGCTAAACTGGTAATTCATGTTTTGTATCATTTTGTTTAACTTGGCTAGCTTTTTATTAGGGTCTTCTGTAAGCTCATGGATCATTTTGTAAATTAAGTCTATTTGTTTAGTTATATCCTATTTTAGCTTGCTGTACCTTATTGATCTGTTTTTCATTATTGCTGTTTTTTCTTTATTATTTCATGTAATTCAGTTGTTTGATTTCCTTCCCATGGATTAGCCTCAGGGAAGTTGGAAGTTTTTGGAGGTAATCTGCTGTCTCCTTTTCTCATGTCTGTATTGATCTGTGTGTGTGTGTGTGTGTGTGTGTGTGTGTGTGTGTGTGTGTGTTCTAAAGGTTGCAGATCAATTAAAATGGAAACATTTTGTTGCTAGTATGGAAATGTCTTTAGTTCATGTCTGCTTTTCAGCAATGTGCCCTGGGTGTGGCTAACTGTAGGCGTCTGCCTCTGTTCCAAGATCTGACCACTTCCATTGATTTGGGAAAGGGAGGGTGAAGTGTAATTGGCCCAGTTCCCAGTTTTCTGGAAATGAACTGCAGGATTGTTGATGATCCAAAGACAAACCACACATTAGCATAAAAAAATCTAGCTAATAGCAACAACTATGCCACCCGGGCAATAGAACAAAATCAGCCACAATAACAAAGTGAAAGACAAACTGGATATTGACATACCATAAGAACCAATAAAAGCTACCACCACACCAGCCTTAATACTAGAAAATATATCTATAATTATGACATAGGTACAAACCACATATTAACATATAGTAAATATCTCCTAAATGCAACAATTATACCTGGGCATGACATATCTCCCCCCACCCACCTAACTCCAGGACATCTTGGCTGGTACAGACTCCAGATGGCATCCCACCCAAAACAGAGACTAGGAGATTCAAACTGAGTTCTAGTTTAGCCA